CCCGCATCTCAGCTTTATCCACAGTCTCGGGGGCTGGTTCCAAAGTAAACCCACTTCCTCCTCTCCCAGAGTATAAACAGCGTTTGCCTTCTGAGAGAAGAGACAAGCAAAAACCCGCAGAGAGGACTCGAGCCCAAACTCAGAACCATTCCCCTGGGGGGGAGCGATGGCCTCTTTGCAGATTAACCAACTTAATCTGGTTGAAACATGCTGGTCATAATCTGGCACTCAGCTCCTCTGGGAACTGTCCTTTAATTAGCATCTCAGAAATGCATGGGTAAGGTAAAGCGCGATAGCCGAAGTGGAAAGCAAGAGAATGACCAGTGACCTTGCTTCCCTTCTCCCTTGCCTCCTTCTCCTCTCCCTTCCCTTGCCCTCCCACCCTCTCCCCTCTCCTTTCTAGCCTGTTCTTTACACTGGGCTCCCTTCTTGTTGAACAATAGGGCAGAATCAGGAGTCACCTTAGCAGGACCAAGTCTTTGGAGGCTCAGGATAAAATGATACTGAGGTTGGAAAGCGAAAGCCCTAGAACTTGAACAGGTGCTTGTTTTTGTAGGTAGAAATGAGAAATCTCATTTGGAGCCAAGCCTCCGAGGGGCACGGTCCATGCCCCTCAGTAAGAAGTGGATCTCCCTCTGGGATCTGCTGAAGGAGCAGATGTTTTTCGAGGAAGCTACCGACTTCTGCTCCAGAAGGATTCAATGTCAGAGGCAATAGAAATAACATTCCCTTTGCCTCCTTGGAGAGTTTAGGGAAACGGCTTCTTTAAAACCTCAAAACCATGACCATCTTGTCAAAGACATAAATCTGTAAGTTGATGCCATGTCCATACACCGTGTCACTTTACTCTTCATTTGTCACCATTTTCCCTATGCACGCATGCTCTGAGCATCCCTGCCTGGGCCCATCCTCTGCCTCCAGAGCATGCTCTGCAGTGGGCCTGATTTGTGGGAGAAGGGAGGCTGGCTCTGCCTTCTCTGATGGGACGAGAGCTGGGGGGACGAGACGCATAGTGGCACTTTTGCATCCCCCGTTTTGTTCCGTATTTGCATAGAGAGCATTGGGGTGACTAGGCAGGTCAAGAGTCAAGAGGCTTGGTGCATTGGCAAGGGAAGGCATAAGAGATGGATGCAGAGGAATCCTGCCTGCCTTCGGCGGAAAACTCACCTAATCCTAGAACTGTGGCTCTTCTCAGGCAGAGCCAAAGGTGGTGGCGAGGTGTGGCTGTGCGATCGCATAGGCTCAGAGGAGAGAGTTAGGAATTTCCGTTTACATATACTAGTTTGGTTTGTAAGTTTTAGTTCTTTGTATTATTGAAATTCAAAGCTTCATTTTACGTTGGTCATTAGGTGAATGTTACTCATTTCCCCCTAAGAGAAGCTCATAAATGTGTGCGGGTGTGCAAGCACAAGCTTCCAGTGTGTCTGCGTGTGTTTGTGAGAGAGAGAGAGATCAAGAACTTGCCCGACTTTAGAAATACGCTGCGGTGCAGTTGTTGCCTTTGTCTGTATTAAAGGCCCGTTGAATGGTTGATCCAGGCTGGAAGCTCCCACGTTGGTGTCTGAGTCCACGAGCCAAGCCTGAGGGGACAACGTGCGTCCCCAGTCGGCCACACCGGCGCACCTTGCTGGCACGGTGCCTCGGGAAGGTGGCGACTCAGGTGGGCCTTGAGTTATACTTTAACTTAGCTGCTCAGTTCCCAGGGCACATTTCTGGATCAGAACCCGTGGGAAAGAGGAGGTACCAAGTGCAATGTCTTAGTGCTCTACAAATGGAGCTCTGTCGTCTGACAGCTTGTCTCCTTTTTATAACCATTCTTTCTGAACCCAGGGCCCTTTTCAGCAATTCCCAGAGCATAATGGAGGCATCCCTCATCTTTCTCGGGATCAAACTCGGCTTCTTTATTATTTACTAAGAATTTACCTGTTTGAACAGAAACCAGATAATGGGTGGGTAGCCTAAGATGGTGACCTGCCGGTTACACCTCTCTCTTGCACCACATTTCCTCGAAGCTAGTCTGAATTCTCTAGGCTGAACATATCCATTTGGCAAATCTGAGAATTGAAAATTGCAGATAACACTGTAGCTGAATACTGATGTCTCGAGGTGGCTGTTCTGACCACAGGTGATTGAGTGACCATAGAACTTTTCTAAGAAGGCAAAAGAAGAAAGCCAAGTTGACAGGCAGGATTATGAAAACAGGCTTGCCTTGTACTTGGCTGTGTTCATCTGGTGGCCTGTGAAACAAAGTAGAAGAACCCCTGGGTGGAGGTGAAGCCGTCCTGTCCCAGAGCAGTCTCCGGTGCTTTTCTTCTCTCAAAATGGATCCGAGAAATGTTCGAATAGAGTAGACAGTAGAATGTCTTGCTGCCGCCGGAAAGCTGCTGCTTTGGGCTCTGAATTGAGCCAAATGTGTAGACCTACCAAGTCGACTGAGGGACCTGGTTTTCACGTCTGTAGTCATGCTAGAATGTTCCAAGCCATCTGAGGGCCTTCAAGTCAGCAGCAGCTAATGAAGTCTGGCAGCAAGTCTAACAGGATCTAAGAAGCTCATCTGAGAGAAGGAGTTTGAGACGGAGTGTGCAACCCCCCTCAGTGAGGCCCCCTTTTGCTCTGATTGGTAGGAATGTATCTGGCTTCAGATTTCAAATCCCATGTCTCCCAGGCCCCTGGATTCAGAACCCAAGGCCACAAATCATAGGCATGAAGCACTTTCTTAAGACTCCGCCCTAATATTGGATTGTCCTCCGTCGAATGCCTGCATGCTGCTTGAATCTCACCACCCGCCCCTCCACGACCAAGGGCGTAAGAGAGTTCTGCAGCTCAGACGTGGGCCATGCCCCACTTCTGTCTGACTCTTGTAAGTCCTCCTTCACTGAATGTAGAATCGTTGCCAGGTTTCTGAGAAGCGTAGATTCCCTGTTAACGTGGGATATCAATTCTGCCTCACATTTCCCACTTGAGGTCGAGGCTCACTGCAAACAACGCCTTGGGCCATCTCAGCACCATCAGTGGACGAAAAGGGGGTTATTAATATTCTCTGAAAGCCATAATGGGAATGCTCAGAGGGACCTGGATAAGAAGAGTGGGCCTGGCTATTGTCTGTCATGCAGGGTTTTGTCTTGTACTGTTCAGAAACCTGCCCCCCTTCTCCCCACCCTTGTTTCTTGAATGAAATGCTTTTGAGGTTATTTATGAAAGGAGTGATCCTGGGGCAGGCAGGAGGCAGTGGGCTTTATGGCTCTTTGGAGTTACTATTGATCTTGACCTTCTCTTTGGCTACCTTTAGACAAAGAATATGCCAATACTTGGGGCTCTAATTTTACAACTCATATTTATTTGTATCATCTCTTTGTCTAGGAATGTAAAAGTGATTCTAAACTAAGATGTGTAATAAAAATCAATCAGATTTATTGTACTTACAAAAAGGTGTCCTCATAAATGACTAACGTTTTTGAAAATGACTTGCCTGTGGCTGACACACTGACAGTTTCTCTAAACATTTGAATTTTTCTAGTGAAAGGAGGGTGGGAATGGAAAATGAAGATTGAGTTGGAATGTTGGTATTTTAAAAATATGGCAATGAGGTAAAGGGACATGAAACGAAGAAAGAGTGACAGGTGCTTCTCGTGTTTTTCCATGAAGGTTCCTGAGACAGGCAGGAAATTTCTTTTAATTTCTGTGTTTTGTTTTTTATGTTTCTTTAAATTTATTACATATTGTACTTTAAAATATATATCTTTTTTTAACACAGAAATATTTCATGTTTTTTACCATCAAGAAAAAAAATACCAGAAATGGGTCACTTGTTGGTCTTATGGTTTCTCATATGCTCAGGCCTGCTGGCGTGTCCCCCTGGGGGTCATGTACCCTGTCTGAGGAGTGGGGACTCTGTAGAAGGAGCTCAGACCGTGGACTCCGAGCTGGGGTTGAATCCTGGTTGTGCCTCTGCTTACGAGTTGTGTGACTATGAGGAGTTTAGTTTACCTCTCTGAACCTTGGGGTCCTTGTCTGTTGTAAAATAGGGCCAATAATCCCCACCTGGCAGGGCCATTGTGGAGGATTAGCATTACATTTAAAGCAGCAAGTACTCAAGTATGTGGGTGAGAGCAGACATTTTAAAATGTGGTTATTAGGAATTCCCTGGTGGTCCAGCGATTAGGACTTCATGCTTTCACTGCCATGGTCCGGGTTCAATCCCTGGTCGGGGAACTAAGAGCCCGCAAGCCACGCGGTATGGCCAAAAAATAATAAAAATAATAAAATATGGTTATTGCTGTGACAGGACCCTGTGTTCAGAAGACACCATGAACAATTTGTATCCTAAGAAACTAGAAGCTAGTACTGGGCATATTATGTTTAGAAAACCCTAGGCCTCTGTAGAAAAGCTGCTCATCACTTAACAAATACATGTTGAGTACCTACTATGTGCCATGCTGTTCTGGGCACTGGATATAGAGATGTGAGCAACATGGTCCCTGCCTGCATGGAGCTTGTGCTTTAATGGGGAGGGAGGCAGGGTAAATGGTAACCTAATGCACACAAAAGTAGAATTACAAATCGTGACAAATGCCGTAAAGTGATATTATAAGACATTATGAGAGAGTAACAGGGGCCTAATTTGGATTGGGCGAGTAAAGAAGGGAAGGGCTTTCTGGAGAAATGGCATAAAGTGAGATTTAGAGGACAAGGAGTTATCTGGACAAGAAAGTAAGGAAGGGAATTTGTTTAAAGAGGGAACGGGGCTTCCCTGGTGGCGCAGTGGTTGAGAATCTGCCTGCCAATGCAGGGGATGCGAGTTCTGAGCCCTGGTCTGGGAAGATCCCACATGCCGCGGAGCAACTAAGCCCGTACGCCACAACTACTGAGCCTGCGCGTCTGGAGCCTGTGCTCCACAAGAGAAGGCCGCAACAGTGAGAGGCCCGCGCACCGCAATGAAGAGTGGCCCCCGCTCGCCGCAACTAGAGAAAGCCCTCTCACAGAAACGAAGACCCAACACAGCCAAAAATAAATAAATTTATTAAAAAAAATAAAAAGAGGGAACAGCGTTTGTGAAGGCCTCGTGTAACAGACAAGTAGAATTTCACAGGAAGTTATCTGCAGTCCTTTTTTACCCTCACTAGGGGGAAGCATGGAGAACTACTATAGAATAGAATTTAGTAGAGGACTTTAAAAATATATATACCAACAAGAAATGTGAAGAGCACAGAGAAGACGGTGGCCTATAGGCAAATGATTCTTAACTCTTCATAAGATGGCCTCAAACTATGTGTAACGTCCCTATAGCCCCCTTTCTTTCCAAAATGAGCTAGCTTAGCTTAGCTTGTATAATTATTGGTTGAGAACAGATCAAAACTCATTAGCCAGAAAGCAAGGGTTCAGAGTGTGATTTGAAGAATTCTGAGTGTGTTCTTGAAAGTGGCAGAAATCTGGGTGGGTCAGGGGCTATATACCAGGGGAGGTACAGGGCAGGGTTGCTGGGCAACTTGGAAATTCCTGCTGACTCACCAAGTTGTCTTCTCATCTTCCGGGTTGTTTAAAAAAAAAAAAAAATCAAGAAACTACTCAAACCTTCTGTGATGTAGTAAGAAATATATAGGGTCTTTATCCCCCCAAAACTTCTACAACTCTCGAAATTTCCTGAGTGATAAGAGTATCTTTTGGTATTCCTAACAAGCCCCTTTCAACCATACCTGAGATTATGCTAATGAAATGACCCATGGATAACTTCAGGATGGAGGCTGGTTGCCAGAGGAACCGATCATGTGATTAGTGTCGGAGCTTTCAGCACCCCTCCTGATCTCCAGGGAGGGGAGAGGAACTGTAGATTGAGTTAATCACCAATAGTCAATAATTCAATCAATCGTGCCTACCTAATGGAACCTCCATAAAAGCCCCTAAATGATGGGGGTTTGGAGCGCTTCCAGGTTGGCGAACGCACGAAGGTGCTGGGAGGATGGCATGCCCGAAAAGGGCAGGGAGGCTCCGCGCTCTTCCCCCAACCTTGCACTATGCATTTCTTCCATTTGGGTGTTCCTGAGTTGCATCCTTTATAGTAAACCGGTAATAGTAGCTACAGTGCTTTCCTGAGTTCCGTGAGCCATTCATTCTAGTAATTATTTAACCTGAGGACAGGACTGTGGAAACCCTCGACAGTTATAGCTGGTTGGTCAGAGGTACAAGTGGCAACCTGGGACTTTGGACTAGCGTCTGAAGTGGGGGCAGTCTTGTGGGACCAAGTCCTGAAATACTGGGAGTTAGTGTCAGTACTGAATTGAATTGTAGGACACCCACTTGGTGTCCGGAGAATCAGAGACTTAATTATCGGGTGGAGGGAAAAAACGCATACATTTCATCATCAGAAGTACTGTGAATAAAAACAGTTGACCTTGGAAACTGTTTTGAACTTCACACTGGTATTTTGTCTCGGGGCGCGTGATTTTGGCAGGTCCTTTTGTACTAGAGTTGCCATCTGATTGAATTTTACCCTGAGAATCTGGTCTCCAAGGACTATGCGGTGGTCACATCTGCCAACTGGGTTGTCGGTGGCATTTATCAAGGACGTAACTGTAGCTCTCACAGCTGCTCCTGTTTCATCCTCTGTTTCTATCAGCAGCCTGTGGTAAACCGTCCCCGGGTGCTTCGGTTAGGCGAGCTGACTGGGGACTGGCTTTTGGGGCGGGGCAACGGGCAGGGAGAGAAGTGGCTCACCCGCATGGCTGGGGACAGTGCAGCCCACAGGAACTTGTTGAATGCTTGTTGAGTGCCAGGTGTCTTGCTCTGCACTGGAGACCGAGAGGAGTGAAATGCTCTCCAGCCCTTCTGAGGCGGGGAGAGACAAAAGCACCGAAGGACGGTGATTCAGAGTGGTTAGGACCTCCGAGAAGGCCAGCCTCCTCTCCTCCCGCTGCTCTCCCGGGCCTCCTTTAGGTTCTGGGTTATGCCAAGCGCGTTCATGCCGTGACACCTTCACATGTGCTGTGCCCTCTCTCTGGAAATTTCTCTCCACGCTTTGCTTGGCTCACTCGTACTCATTGATCAGGTACCAGTTTAATGTCGTCTCTTCCAAGAAGCCTTCCCCAACCACGCATTCTGGTTTCCCCCCATCTCCACCTGGCTGTGTGGTGTCTCTCACTAAATAAACCGTGCTTCCTTCTTAGCCCTTTCCCCAACTTGCGATGAATGTATTTCTTTGCGTTGGTCTCCCCCAATTAGACAATAAGTTCCCTGAGGGCATGTCCTGTTGTCTTCTTAGGTTTGACCCTTAGATGGATCAGCTAGTTGGGTCGGTGCTGACACCCACAGCTCAGGACAGAGTGTTTTCTGTCAGAGGAAGGAGTGATAGGACAGGAGAGGTGGAGGAAGCCTTCACAGAGGAGGCCGCATTTGAGCGGTGCTCCTGAATATTGGGTAGGGTTTCACTCGCCTGAGAGGAGGGAAGGACATGCCAGACGAAGGCAGCAGCATGAACGAGACACGGGGCTCATGCTGGGGAACCCGAGGCCTGGAGTGCTGGGAGTGGAGAGTGAGAAGGGGTTCAACTCCAAGGCACAGCCTGTAGATAGAGGGGCAGCCCTCGGAGGCTTTTGGGGGTGTTTGTCGGGGGCGGGGGTGACGCCCAGCCCTATTTATTGCACTGCAGCGTTTTCTCCTTAAGCCAGCCCCTCATGCTACTATTTCTCTCTGAGATAACAGGAAGCAGTTTCACTAAGTGCTGCTTTAAGTTTGCCTGCTGTTCACGCAGGTTTTCTGGGCTCGGTTGGCAAATTCCATTCTGCAAGGAGCTTTCCCTGGCACAGCTCAGAACCCAAGGCATTCCAAGGGTTGACTGTGGCTTGGTTCCCTAGGAATGGGGCTGAGGCATTTTTCAGGGTAGCAGAATGGAAGGTGGTTCCTTTGCTACGTTTAGGAACAGAGAAATTAAACTTCTGCCACTGGTTTTGAAATTTATCTTCTTTGGCCAGTGAACAAAAGGTTTACATAATGCTGTCCAAACTCTGTGCCACATGTCATGGGCTACACGTGGCTCAGGGCTTCTGGAGCTCCCATTCTGGTAGGGAGGTAGCGTCATTCACAAATATGTACAATTCAAAGTGATCAGTGGCTCAGATCCGGTGCTCAGAGCGTGCTTGGGGGCGGGGGGCGCAGATTTCCGTGAGGGGTGTGTTCAACGCAGGGATCCGTCTTCTCTGCTTGGTTGTCCTGGGGCAGTGAGAAGAGCCAGGGCTTTAGCACCAGCTTCCTTTCTTCATTTTTTTGAGTACCTACTATGTTGTGGGCATCGCTCTAGTCCTCGGGGTCCAGGATGAAGCTCCTGCTCCCAGGGCTGGCACATTCTAGTGGGGGAGACAGATGGGTAACAAAAAAGAATGGACTGTCAGGTGCTCAGAGGTGCCCTGAAGGACAGCAAGGCAGGGCAGGGGTTAGAGAGTGAAGAGCTGGCGGGGGTGGCTGGGTTAGGTTGGGAGGTTGGGAGGTTGGCCGGGGCTTCTCTGCGGTGGTGACAGGTTCTATTCGAGCAGAGGCCTGAGTGAAACTGGGGAGCAAGCGTGTAGGCATCTGGTACTGGGAGGAAGAGTATTACAGGGAAATGGAACCACAGTGTAGAGGCCTGGCGGTGGGGTTGTGTTTGGGGACAGCAAAGTGTGGCTAGTAGGCAGTGGGGTTCGACAGGTGGTGGGGGACCAAGGCTGAATTGTAAGTGAATTTTATTTTTAGACCATTGGAGGCTTTTAAGCAAAAGAGGTGGAGAGTAAGAGAGGGAAATCCGACAGGAATGCTTAAAAGGATCCCTCTGGCTGCTCTGTGAGAACAGAGCAGAGGGAACAAGGGGAGAGGAAGGAGGCCGCCTGGAAGGGGAGCGGTGGTTGGGAGGAGAGGTGGTGGCTTGGACCAGGCAGTGGGAGCGGCGGAGAGAAGTGGTAAGATGTCTTAAGATGCATGCTGATTGCTGATAACTGTATGTGAGAGGTGAGAGAAAAAGAAGAGGCAACAGTAGCTCCAAAGTGTTTGATCTGAAGCTGGTGAAAATTCCACCTCTGCCACTTCCTTCCATGTGCCCCCCAGCCCGCTTTTAAGATAAAAGGCTTTATTAAGATATAATTCACCTACCACACAATTTGCCCATTAAAGTGTATGATTTATTGCTTTTTAGTATATTCACCTAGCTGTGCAATCATCGCCACCACCAATTTTAAAACATTTTCGTCACCCCGAAAGTACCCATTGACTGCCACTCCCCATTTCCTCCCAACCCCACAGCCCTAGGCAACCCACTGATGTACTCTCTATCTCATCTGCCTGGTGCTTTTAAGGTCTCAGAACTCCCCGTTTCCTCATCTGTAACTTCACAGGGTGATTATGAGGTTGGAAAGAGAACGTGAAAAGAATACAGGAGAGCATGCCTAACAGGCCAGGCCGAGTGGCCTTGGCCTTAGTAAGTGCTCCAGAAATCCCAGCCCTCCCCCACTGCTCTGACTCCTGCTTTGCCATCTTACGAAGGCAGCGCGGGCAGTGGTGAAACGCGTGGGCACTGGACCCAGACTGCTGGATTGTGAATTCTGAACTCACCACTGACGAGTTGTATGATTATTGCAAAGTTTTTTTTAACCTCCCTGGGGCTTCAGATTCCTCAACTACCAGAAAGGCATCATAGCAGGTACTTCCTAAGTTGCTCTGAGTCAAAATGTGTGAAGCACTGGGAACAGTGCCTGGCCTGTAGCAAGTACTCAGTGAGTGGGCAGTGTTGCTCAATGAGTGGTTGTCATTATTAGTCAAGTAAGGAGCAGGCAGGTGGCGGCTCCCAACGTCAAGGCCAGAAATGGACATTTCTGAATCCAGGTTGTTGCAGAGGTAATAGAGAGAGAGAGAGAGAGAGACCACGGATGTACTTTTAGTCTTGTCCTTTTGTTGGATCTCTACCTTTGCAAAAGTCACTTGTCCCCTCTAAGCCTCAGGTTGCTCATCTGTAAAGTGGGGATGAAAAGTCCTTACCTTGTGGAGCTCTGTGGAGGATTCAGTAATGTATTCAGCAGTAAGTATTGTTTTGAACACAACAGGAAAAAAATCCCTGCTCCCCTAGAGCTTGTGTGGAGCTAGCGGAGAGAGACAGAAAGTAAATATTAATCGTAAAGACAATAATAATCATAATAAATAAAATACATGAATAAGAAAGCAGATGTGTAAAGCACCTGGCGCCTGGCATGTGGCGAGCATTCTGTCAACAGTAGCTGTTACGATTATTGCATGAAAGCACTTTGTAAAGCTGGACAGCACTGCATGGAGGTGGGTCTCCAGGTGACTTTGCGAGCATGTTGCCTTCATCTAAGCCTACCCTCATCTCCGCTCAATTAAATTTCACTCAGCCTCCAAGGCCCCTTTCGAGTTGCCTGGTTGAAATCTTTGTCTCTCATGGTAGAGTTTTCTTTTTTCCTCCCTTCAGCTGGCATTTACTGAATGCCACTTTGGGCCAGTCCTGCTGCCGGATGCTGGGGCTTTTATGTTGAAAAACCCAGGAGGGGTGTGGTCAGGAGTGTGAATGGAGGGAGCCCAGGGCACTCTGGGCTAGACTGTGTAGGATCCTGGCTGCCTTGGTTTTAGTCTGTCCAGGGAGACCCCAAGGCTTCTGAGCCGAGTGATAAAATTAGCAGATAAACTAAGACTTCACGACATTCTTGTTTAAATACTGCATGGTAAAAGAAAACATTTGCATTATGGTCAAATACATAATCTCTGTTTAAGCACTATAATCTATCCAAAGAGCTACAAGATGGAGATGCAAGGACATGTAGAAGAGCAAAGACCTCGGGGCAAACAATGTCTCAAGGTGAAGACAGTATTCTACCAGATCAGCAGGAAATGTGGCAAAACGGCGCAGGGAGGTTTTGGAGCTAGATAAACCTGGGTTAGCACTTATTGCCCGAAGCAAGCTATTGCACCTTGGTAGGAGGGTTAATACCCACCCCGCTGCTCTCAAGAGTTGCTGGAAGGATGAAAGAAAACATCCATCAAGGATCTGTCACTTAACAGGCATACAATAAGAGGCATATATTATTAAATATTAATAGCACTATTAATTATTAGTAACAGTGCAGCATTATGGAAAGAGCTCTTGTGTCAGCCAGACCTGTGTGCAAATCCTGATACTTCCATTGCAAGTTGCTTAACCTTTCTGAGCCTTGGATTGTGTCCCTTCCTGTAAAATGAATGAATAATACCTTCCTTGTAGGGTTGATATATGATAAATGTGATAATATAAATTTCCTAGGTTGTATAATAAGTGTTAAGTGCTATTTCAAAATCAAAATATAGCAAGCTTTATTGAATATTCTGATTATAAAAGTTATATATTCTGATGGTAAAACAAACAATACAAAAACACTTAAAGGAGTAATTACAAATCACTGGAAATTCTATTTCTTATAGCTGATAGCCAGTTTTTTAGATATCTCTTTATGCAAACTCTTTTAGTTCGACCTTCATAATATATATGGGTCCATAGTACACACCTGTCCTGTTTTCACTCAAGAATATGTTATGGACATATGTCCAGTTAATAAATATGGATTTATATTATTATTCTAAATGGCTTCCTAGGGGGCTTCCCTGGTGGCGCAGTGGTTGGGAGTCCGTCTGCTGATGCAGGGGACGCAGGTTTGGGCCCCGGTCCGGGAAGATCCCACATGCCGCTGAGCGGCTGGGCCCGTGAGCCATGGCCGCTGAGCCTGCGCGTCCGGAGCCTGTGCTCCGCGGCGGGGGAGGCCACAACAGTGAGAGGCCTGCGTGCCGCAGAAAGAAAAGGAAGGAAAAAAATAATAATAATAAATAAATAAATAAATGGCTTCCTAGTAATCTATTGTATGGAATACCAGAATTTATTTAACGCTATAGATAGTCATTGAAGTCATTTTCAGATTATTTTGTTTTATACAATACTGTATAAAGCAACCTTATATATAGATCATTGTTCACTTGTTTAATTTCCTTCCTAGGATAAATCACTATAAATGAATTACTAGATCAAAGGGTTTTCCCATTATAATTTTGTCCCATATTGGTAAACTGCCTCCCAAAATGCCTATATGAATTTGCACTCCCACCGGCAGTGCATAAATTATGCCCATTTCCCTATATCCTTGTTAACACTAGGTTCTGGCAATCTTTTTAACCTTTGCCAGTCTGAAAAATTTCAATTCTCTTGAAAAATGGTATCTCAATTTTGTTTCTATCTGTAGTTCCAGTATTACTAATGAGGTGGAAAATATTTTCAAGTATTTATTTCCATTTGTGATCCTTCTTTTGTTAATTGCCTTTTTAGGCCATTGTTATTTGACTATTTTTCTAATTCAGGTGTTTCCTATTGACTTTTAAAAACTCTTTGTTTATTAGGAAGCTTTAAAAAAAAAATTTATTTATTTGGTTGCACCATACCAGTTGCAGCAGGCAGGCTCCTTAGTTGCAGCTCACTGGCTCCTTAGTTGTGGCACGTGTGTGGGATCTAGTTTCCTGGTCAGGGATCGAACCCAGGCCCCCTGCACTGGGAGCACGGAGTCTTAACCACTGTGTCACCAGGGAAGTCCCTGTTTATTAGGAATTTTAACTCTTTGTCATGTATGTGACAGATATCTTCCTCCGCTTCATTGGTTGTCTTTAACCTTGTGTGTGGTATTTTATTGCCACATATGAAGTTTTAAGTTTATAAAGTCAAATCTTGACTTGATTTTACTGGACGGATTTTTTAAAAACTTTTATAACATGTTTAGAAAGTCTTCCGGTTCCAGGATTATTAAAACATTCCCTTGTTTTTTTCTTCCAATGCTTTTATTGTTTCTTTTATCACATGTACATCTTTGATCTAAGAGGTGGAATTTAGACTTAGGGAGGAAGATGGAGCTCCAACTTAATTTTTCTCCAAATGGCTACCCAGTGGTCCCGTTCCGTTTATTGACTTCCATCTTTTCTCCACCAATATGAAATGTTACCTTTATTGTACACTATAATTCCTTATACACTTGGCTCTATTTCTGTACTCTGTTCAGTTTAATAGGTCTGTCAGTTCCTTTGTCAAAACTGTACTGTTTTAGTTTGGTGTAGCTACCTAATGCATTTTAGTATCTGGTAGAACAAGTCCCAACTCATTCATCTTCAAACTTCTTTTGGCAGTATGGCGGAGTGGTTAAATTCGCAGAGTTTGGGTTCGTTCAGCCAGCCTGAGCTTTAATCCCAGGTCAGCCACCTGCTAGCTGTGTAATCTTGGGCAAGTTATTTTTTTCTCTCTGAACCTCTGCTTCCTCATCTGTTTAAAGTTAATAGTAACCGTATCTACCTTACAGTGTTTTTGTGAAGATGAAATGATGCATAGAAAGTCCTTGGGCCAGAGTCTGGCACATGGCAAGTTGTCAGTAAATGTTCAGTCTTTTTGTTATGAAAACGATGCATCTATTTTTCCAGTTGAATTTTAGGATCACTTTGACAATAAAATCTCACTGGGATCTTGATTGGGATGACATTTACTGGATAGGCTAATTTTGAGATAATGAATATCCACGTTATAGGGTCTTCCAGCCTGAGGCAAGCTGTGCTCTTTATTGGTCCAAGACTTTATGCTCCTTGGTGGAGTTTATAGTTTTCTTTATATAAGATGTGTGATTTTATATTAACTTTATTTCCAGATGGTGTAAGTTTTGTTGTTGTTGTGAGTGTGACTTTCTTAGTACATAAGAAAGTTATTCATTTTTTTAAATTGAGATATAATTGACATATAACATTATATTAGTTTAGGGTGTACAACATATTGATTCTGTATCTGTGTATATTGTAAAATGATCACCACAATAAGTCTAGTTAACATCTAGCACCATATGGAGTTGTACATTTATTTTCATGTGATGAGAACTTTTAAGATCTACTCTCTTAGCAACTTTCAAATATACAATACAGTAATATTAACTATAGTCACCACGCTGTACATTACATCCCCAGGACTTATTCTATAACTGGAAGTTTGTACCTTTGACCACCTTTACCCATCTTGTCCACACCCCCGCCTCTGGCAACCACCAGTCTGTTCTCTGTATCTACTCATTAATTTTTTTTTTTTTGCGGTACGCGGGCCTCTCGCTGTTGTGGCCTCTCCCGTTGCGTAGCACAGGCTCTGGACACGCAGGCTCAGCAGCCATGGCTCACGGGCCCAGCCGCTCCGCGGCATGTGGGATCTTCCTGGACGGGGGCACGAACCCGTGTCCCCTGCATCGGCAGGCGGACTCTCAACTGCTGCGCCACCAAGGAAGCCCTATAATTGTTGATTTGGGAAATAATTTCTCCTCTACATAGTGTCAGCTTTGAGATATCCCCTTCCCTCAGCTCCAGGAGCATCCCAGGTTTCTATCACTAGGGCACCTCCCATATTGACTTGCCATCACTTAAAATCCATCTATATGATGTAGGAACTGTGTCTAATTGGACTGTTAGTCCCCAGGGCTCAGCACAGGGCTTGTATCAGTACTAACTTATCAGTGCCAATTAAAGAAGGTGCCCCATGCTGTACTACTGTTTTCTGGGATAGAAGAGCCTCTCTTCTAGGACAGAGGGCAGGACGGTAAATAGGCCCACAGTCCCTGACCTTATCTGGCTGACAGTCTAATTGGGGAGCAGACATTGAGGAAGTCATTATTAATGTCAAGAGTGAATTATGTTTTTCCTTATTACATTTTGAAGGAAGCTTTGGATGCTATGGGAGCGTAAAGGACTTAGTGAGTATAGGGCAGCAGAGAAGGCCTTGCCGAAGAAATATTCAAGGAGGAGTCTGGGGCGACTGCACCCGTCTTGCTCTCCCTCCACTGCAGACCAGTGTTAGCACCCAGTCCTGCTTGAACGTATCCATTCAGCAAACAAAGAGCATCTGCTCTGTGTCAGGCCCTGTGCTGTTGGGTCTGGGACCACAGAGTTGGGTAAGAGCCAGTATCTGAGCTCAAATCAGAGTTCTGTTGATTCCTGGTAGTTACAGGAGGCAATCAAAACTCCTCAGCCTGGAGATCTACCTCCTGTCCCTCCCTTATGCCCCTACTAGGCCCCAGCCCACCTTTCTGCCCATGGG